CATATGAACGGTAAGTTATTTGTTTTGTGTTGTCGAAGGCTTTCATGGCTGGAATCACTAGGTTGCTGTGAGTTTTCTGGGCTGTATGGCCATGTTCCAGAAGTATTCTTTCCTGACATTTTGTCCACATCTATGGCATGTATCTTCAGAGGTTGAGAGCTGTTATTTGTTTTGATTAGTCAATATATCAGGAATATTGAAACAGGTCCAAATATTGAAAAGGATTTAAAATTACGTTTCAAGTTGCTTGTTTCCTCACATTCATCTCATTGATTTTGTTGTTCAAATATACAGAGGTTCAAGCAAGGTCTATATATGCGTTACCCAAACATTATATTTTGCGTCACTTCTTCCATCTCCTTGCTGCTCCATATCTCACTCAGTGTTCCCTTATTCCTTACTCCAAAACTTTTGTGCCTGAATTTCAGTACTTTCAAAAACAACAACAAAGATTGTGTACTAATATTTTGGCAGAGAATATAAATTAGGACTACACCGTAAAAGAAATGGATGCTTAAATGTATGCTTCTACTGGAGGTTGAGAAGAGGAAAATACTTATACTTCTAAATTTGGAGCCTTTGAAATTAAACTGTCTGGGTATTTTGGGTTCAGTGTCAGTTATAAAATTACTTTGCATAGGTGTATTCTCTTTGAACATTGGTTCTTTAGATTTAGATGCTGTTCCTGCTTGAGCGTTTGAAAAAATCTAACTTTTCCAGACCAGTCCAAAAAATTCAGTCAAGGAGAAATATGAAGAAAATGCATACAGATTATCCTGCCTTTGTATAATGTGATTACAAAACATGATCTCAAGATCGGTCTGAAGGCTTTCATTATGGGATCCTTGAACTCTGGGAGTAGTGCATCTACCCTGACTGATTTCAGACGCTATATTGATAAGGAGCTATTTCAAATGAAGAATGAAGAGAAAATATCTCTTTCTCTCGTGGTATCTGTCTATCTATCCCCCCCCCCCTTTTTTGGTTAAATCACATTGCCAAAATTGAGGTGTGTGCATTAGATTCCATGGTGTATTAGAATCATGCACACCAATCCATTGGTATGAAAAGGCCCACAGGAACCTTGAACCCTGGAGGTTGGACAGAGAGTCAGGCATGCCAAGAGGTTATTCTGATGGTGGCAGTAGCCTCACCCAACGAATGGCACTGGCAACCCATTTGTTCATGCCATTTAGCTCCGGATCCTGCCTTCTGGGTGGCCCTCGGGTCTCTCGCCTGCCTCCCTAGACTCAGCCCCGTGTGATTCCTAACTTGCTTCATTCACAAGGCTTTCAAAACCTCCCCCTCGGTTTTGAAGGTCTCTTGAATGAGGCCTGTTGGGAATCATGTGAGGCTGACAAGTTTAATATCCTCAGTCTGGCAGAGCTGTGTGGCTTCCCAAATGGCCCCATTCATTCTGCCCTCTTCCCTGATGTGCCTTCATTGTTCACTGCATTTTAGGGCAAATCCATTTTTGGAAGTGCAACGTCAACATTGAGGTACTCATTACATTAAATGGAGCATTACACTTGAGTAAATATAGTATCTATCTGCCTAATCAGCTATCTACCTATTTTTCTCTATTATTTATGATGTTCATGATGATTATACTGGGAAACAGCAACTTTTATCAAAGCAGTAATTTGTCAAAAAGTTGTCAATCCCATAACACAAACAAAAGACAGTTATAATACTGAATGCTTCACTGTTCTGATGAAAATCTATTTCATCTTCATCAACTACTTTAAAGTAATATAAATAACCTGTAGTGATTATTTTTGCTTTTTAGTTATTTAATCATATCCCTGCTATTGCACATTCTTCTTTATTACTTCATCTTTTTTTCTTTCGACAATCGTACTTCTTTGAAAACTAGTTGAATCCATTGATGCTTCATTCTGCTAGCAAAAATGGGAAGACATGTAACAGTACATGTTTTTTCATGATTTATTGTTTGTTTGTTTATTTTGTTAATAACTCATCTTCGGCAAAATGAACATACTGGTTGCCACAAATGTCACATCACAATCTGATGTCACAGATGTCACAATGCAAAGGCGCAGGTCTCCTTAGTAATAGAGTTCACTACTTCATAAACTGTGCACTGGGTTTCTTCTTGGAAAATGTTTTCCTATGCTCCTCAGTTTGAGAAAAGCAGCAGCTCAAAGGGTCTTATCGCTGACTGCTCCGCGACTGTGGAATGACTTGCCAGAAATTTAAATTGTCATTTTATTGGTATGGATTATTTTAAATTGTTTTAATCTTATGTCTATATTTTTAATATATAATTTTATCTTTGTATTTTAACTATGTTGTGCCCCACTTTGAGCCTTGAAGAGAGGTGGGTAATTAAAAAAACACTTTGACACACTTATCTTCATGTATGAAATAAAAATTAGTGATGTTATATGATATAGGCAGTATTGAGGAAAGTGTCTGCCATCAGGATATTGTCACATCAGAACTGCTACTGGTTGAGTTTTCATGAATTGCTGCTGTGCTGGTATTTGAATCTTTGAGTCTCCACTGAGAGATAAAGCAGAATATAATTATTATTGCCTAAGTAAAAAAAATGTCTGTTTGTAGGATTAACATAACTCAAAAACCACTGGAAAAATTGACATCAAATTTGGACACAAGACATGTATCAGGCCAATGAGTGACCATCACTCATAAAAACACTGAAAAACAAAGCGGAAGAGACTTTAAAAGGCCAAAAAAAACAAACAGATGCTACAGCACATGTGCAAAAATGACTCCCCCGGCAAACAAAGCACACAATAGGAAATCCACACTCTCTTCCCAGAATCCTCTAGACCAGGCCCTTTAGGAGAGGGCGGTGATCCAAAGCTGCAAGCTTTCTTCTCCTTGAATTTCATTGAGAGCATCCCAATCCCTGCATATTTCCAATTCCTGTTTCTGGACTGCAATGCCCAAATTAGATAGATTTAGATAGGTGGGTAGATAGATCGACGAGGAGGACTGCTGGGAGTTGCAGTCCAAGAATAGGTAGAGAAGGAAGAAAGGGGAGAAAAAGGGAAAGAAAATGGAGTGAAGGAAGGGAAGAGGATGATAAGGAAGGAAGGAGAGAAGGAAAGAAAAAGGGGAAGGAAGGAGAGAAAGAAGTGAGAGAAAGAGGAAGGGAAGGTTGGCCACAGCAACGCTTGGCGGGTACAACAGCTAGTTATTAATAATAATAGACATAGGGTGTCTTAAGCATTATAGATGCCCGGGCAAAGCAGTGCATTGGGGCTTGCCTACACAACCACTCACAGTGAGGAGATCCCTTCAAACCCCCTGCTCGAAGGGGAGGGAGGCGATTCCCTCTTTATTCACCAATGGTGCCAAATGTGCCCTGCTTTACACATGGCAAATGCACCTGCTTTATGCACCCTGCACACCCTTTTCATTTTTTCCTGGACTCACCCACATCTGTTGGGGGGGGGGGAGGAGGAGAGGGAAGATGTGAAAAAATGGGAATGAAAGTGAAGCAAAGCAAAAAAAGAGAGTAAAAATTCACTCACAAATGCAGAGATGCCAACTCTTGACTATCAGTCCTGATTTTTCTCCCTCTACCAAGTTAATGGGAGATCATAATATTGAGATGAGTGAATGCGAAATTAGTGTTAAATTTTGGTCTGTCCCTAGATTAGCATGGGGAACTTATGCTTGTGGGGCCCCTGGGCAACTGCCCAGCATTAAGTTAGCACTGATTTGACATCAGTTGGGGTTTGACTTAGAGTGATTCTATGAATGAGAGACCTCAGTGAGCCATGTCCTCAGCAGCACTGCTGAATCAATCCATCTGTGTTGAGTTCTCTTTTCCTGTTGCTTTTCTACACAATGATACCTGTGTCTTCTCTACCTGAATGTGTGTCAGGGCACTGCATCTATTATAATAAATAATTCCTATTTGCCTTAATAAAATTTACTATTTAACTGTGTGTATACAGATATCCTGATCCCACATAGTTCTCTGTTGGCTTGAAATTTGTTGTTGAATTGTTTACACTCTGTTAGCTCTTATGCTCAAATCACTACACTATCAGTATCAGGGCAGCTTACAAACAGCATTAAAACAGATTCAAAAGAGAATTACAACTTAAACAAGTTAAAACATTTTGTTGTTGTTTATTCATTCAGCCGCTTCTGACTCTTTGTGACCTCATCGACCAGCCCACGCCAGAGCTCCCTGTCAGCCATCACCACCCCCAGCTCCTTCAGGGTCAAGCCAGTCACTTCAAGGATGCCATCCATCCATCTTGCCCTTGGTCGGCCCCTCTTCCTTTTTCCTTCCATTTTCCCCAACATAATAAACATATAAAATAATATAATGAGCTAAATCAGACCTTTTAAACATTACAAATATAAAGACTTTTCAATAACAGTTTGGGGCTTGAATTAATTTGTCCAAAGGCTCGTATCCACCACCTGTCCCTTATCAGAAGAGTCCCTTTCAGATACTCTTCAGATACTCTTCAGATACTACAGTGGCCCTCTTCAGTCACACATAAATCAATTGGATAAAATACTCTGGATCACTGTGACTAACTTGCAGTTTCTAATAAAGAAAATTATTATTGACATGTTGTATGATCCAATGGACAGAGAAGAAGGCTTTTGATATAATATCATCATAACTGCCTCTTTGGGAGGTCTCCCAAGGCACTTTCATGAGACTGAATCAGGTCTTGGATATGAATGAAAATCCTCTAATGTTTGAAACTTCCTTCAATGATGTGCTGTAATGGTGTGCGTGTGTGTCATAGATCTGTAGATTTTTGACTCAAAAATGACCAAGACAGCCAGGTTTTTACAAACTTCCCACCATCTGATGTATAGTTAATAGAAGTCACATAATCTGACCCAAATCAATAAAATGTAAATGTAAGATTTTCCAGTATTTCTTAAACACTGAACGACCATTCCATCAAAAAAATATAAATCTAATGGTTAGTTCCTCATGCAACCACATGATGGCAATATAGGCAAACACATCATTAGCAATGTTGTTTTGTGAAGAATTTCACAGGGATCTCTTGACTAGAGGTCTGCCAAACAAAGAGACAGCTAGGCTCTGTCTGCAATGGAGGGATTCACTGCAAGAGAAGCAAAGAGCTGCCCATAACAAAATATTTTTCTCTTTAACAATTGTCATTGGGTGAAAAAGAGGAGGTTTTGTATTTGGGCAAGAAATACAACAAGAGAAGAGAATTCTGAACAATGGAGGACTGCTTTAGGATTAAACAAGGTCTGTATATTTTGCTGCTCCTTTCTATATCTGGAATATTGTGTGTTTCGATTCATTATTCTGTGCCTGAAGAGAAAAAAATTGGGTCTATAGTAGCTAATGTGCTGACAGATCTGAAGCTGGGAATTAAGGAGCTTTCTGCTCGCAGAGCCCAGCTAGTGTCCAAAAGCTCTAAGCAGTTTTTCCACCTTGATACCAACTCTGGGAATCTACTCATAAAAGAGAAAATAGACAGAGAAGTTCTCTGTGGCCAGACTGAACTTTGTTTATTAGAGTGCGAAATTGTGCTCCAAAACCCCCTGAAGATCTACAGTATTGAAATGAAGATAGAAGATGTAAATGACAATACTCCTAAATTCTCTAAAAAGGATTTCCAGTTAGAAATTCCTGAGAACGTCCTCCCAAGTGCAAGATTCCCCTTGGAGTGTGCCCAGGATGAGGACCTGGGAGAAAATAGTATCCAAAATTACACCCTCAGCCCCAATGAGCATTTCCGTTTGGATGTGGAAAGCAATACTGATGGAAGCGAACATGTGGATCTCATCCTGGAGAAATCACTAGATAGAGAGAAAGAGCCACACTTTGTGCTGACACTCACAGCCATGGATGGAGGGGTACCACAGAGAACAGGAACAGTACAAATAAATATAAATATTTTAGATATCAATGATAACTCACCCCAGTTTACTAAATCTGAATACAAAGTTAAGTTAAAGGAAAACTGTCCTCAGGGTACTTTGGTTTCTAGAGTAGAAGCCAGAGATGTGGATTTTGGATCGAATGCTCGGATCACCTATTCTTTCCATAGAATGCCTGAAAAAATACACAAACTGTTTAATTTGAATGAAGTGAGCGGGGAAATAATTGTTTTGGGAGAAATAGATTATGAAAAAGAAAACAGTTATGTCATGAACATCAAGGCAACAGATGGAGGAGGTCTTTCTGGTCACTGCAAAGTCTTTGTAGAAGTTGAGGACATAAATGACAATGCCCCCGAAGTCTCAGTCATATCAATCAATAGCCCTTTGCCAGAGAATTCTCCCTTGGAGACACTTGTTGTCCTCTTCAGTGTCAAAGATCAAGATTCCGGAGAAAATGGCAAAACTATCTGCTCTACTGAGATGAATCTGCCCTTTGTATTAAAAACTACTGTGAATAACTACTACCAGCTTGTCATACAGAGTTCCCTGGACAGAGAGAAAATTTCAGAATACAATGTTACCATCACAGCAATGGATCGAGGGTCTCCTAGGCTTACCTCAACAAGAATTATTCACATACAGATCTCAGATATCAATGACAATCCTCCACAATTTGAGAAGTCTTTATTTGAGATGGAGGTACAAGAAAATAATATTCCAGGACTATTAATTGGCTCAGTCCAGGCTGCTGATCTGGATACAGAGCAGAATGCAAAACTATCCTACTCTCTTTTACCTGGGAACATTGGTGGTGGCCCTGTGGCCTCTTACATCTCTATCAACTCTGAAACAGGAAATATGTATGCTCTTCGATCTCTGGACTATGAGAAAATTAAAGATTTCAAAGCCACAGTTAGAGCAACTGACAGTGGCACTCCCCCTCTGAGCTCAGATGTTATTGTTCATGTCACTATCAGAGATGAAAATGACAATGCCCCCTTCTTCCTGTATCCGCTTCAGAACAGCACATTCCCCTGCAATGAGCTGCTTCCCAAGATGGCAGAGGCTGGTTACCTGATCACTAAAGTGGTGGCTGTGGATGGAGATTCTGGTCAGAACTCTTGGCTGTCCTATGAACTCCTGAAGGCCACAGACCCTGGTCTTTTCAGCATAGGAGCCCAGAATGGAGAAGTGAAAACCAGAAGACCACTCACTGAGAGAGACAACAACAAACAGAGGCTTGTTATTGCAGTGAGAGACAATGGTGCCCCTCCTCAGACCAGCACTGCAATGCTCAATATTCTTCTGGTGGATGGCTTTTCTGATCCTTATCTGAAGGTGGTAGATGTCCGTCAACAGGAACATGAATATGAGGGAGCGTTGACCACGTATTTGGTGATCTGCCTGGCATCTGTCTCTTCTGTCTTTCTGATTTGCATTATTTCCTATATTGTTATCAAAATTTGTAAGAAAGACACCCAAGGCAGTTTTATTGCTGCTCATCCTCACTTCCCTCCTGTGATGCCTGATATTCCAGAGAATTGTACTGATTCTCAGAGTGGATCACTTTCTAGGAATTATCAATATGATGTTTGCTTAACTGGCGGGTCTCTAAGCAGCGAATTCAGATTTCTCCGCCCTCTCATTCCTGTTTTTTCTGTGGTGGATCAAAATTTCCCTGCGAACCACAAGACTTCTTCTGGTTCCCAAGACATTCCTGATTGTTCAGAAGAGAATAAACCAAAGGAACAGGTGAGATAGTCATATCTTTTCTTCTTTTCTTTAAAAATCCATTGTATCTGTTATTTAATTGGAAGTGTTATTTTTATTGTCTCTTACATGTGATATTTTTTCGTTCTCATCTAAAAAATTGTCAATAAATAAGACCAGAGACAGATGTAGAATTTTAAGTGATTTTCATAATAATCCATGTGGGAAATTAAAAAAACTTCACCTTTTATTTCCATGCTGTTACTTTTCTCAGTGTTCATCATCATTTATTAGAATATTCTCTTAAAGTCTTTTTTAATCAATCAACTTATCTTCATTGGTAAGTTTTCATTATATTTTGATATATACTATATCTTCTCTTTCTCTGAGATCTTTTTTCCATGTCCAGTCTCTTTCTTTCAAGTGTTTTCATGTCTAGTAAGCACATCTTTCTCCAGTCCTTTTGGTCTTTTGAGCTCCTTTGCCTTGATTTTACTACCCAAAACATTTTGTTAACATGTTCTTAACCACTAAAGTAATAGAACCTACTTCTTCATGGAAGGTGACTCATGCCTTTGATAGTTGTATGAGTGAAGTAGATAATAGCCCTAACTTTCTATAATGTCTGTATGTGACTAATATAGAATGTCAACCATTGTTAGCTTTTGAGCAGCAGTCCATACATTTTCTTCCCTGTGTGCATTTTTTGCTCTTCTTTTGTATTAGAGCATCCCAAAATGTAATGATCCAGGAGGGTGGTAGTAGCCTTGGGTGCAATTGGGTGGGGGCGATGAATAAAAATAAAGTGTCAGTGGAACTATAAAAGAAGAAGAGAAGAGAATTTTGGGAAACCATTTGAACATGTTTCATTTGCTGTGTAACATAGAGTTAAGGTCGTAGTGATTACTTTATTTTCCAAAGGAACACACAAAATGCAAGTTGTAAGCCATCAGTGGTCAAGTCCAATGACAGGTCTTAACAAGCAAGTGTTAGTAGGCGAGCATATCATGCATGGTCAGACATATATTTTATATACATTTTCTTACATACTATACATTACCGCATCTGTCCTGGATTATGGGCTATAGCACAATAGCTTTTAATTACATTTCGTTCATCATATTATATGGAATGTGGATTCATACAATAACAGATCCATTAACCAAAAAAAGAAACTAACAAAAAATATCTAATCATGTTATTTAATAATGGTGCTGACAAAAATAGAGCTGAAAATAAATGCATTGATAGTGGGGCTGCGGTAGCGTAATTATTACACTGCTTAGCCGGTATTGCACCACCTGACATCCACCGGGAAGTAGCAGCCAATAGAGAAAGGACCAAGGCAGAGACATCTCCAGCTCATCCCCTGTTTGGGTATCAGCCAGCATGTCAATGACTTAAATCTAGAAATAGTTTTCTAAGATCTACAGAGACACTCGCTGGAACACCTCAGCAAGCGAGAGTCCAAAAGTGGCAGGCTCAAACCCAGAACCTCAACCAATGGCTGATACCAAATGAGAGACTCCCCCCTGGTCACACAGAGGACTGGGCGACTTGGAAGACTGCGCTCTGGCACCACAAGATGCAGAGCCAACCTTCAGAAATGGGGCTACAAAGTGGAATCCTGCAAACCACTGACCACCTGCTGCAATGCAACCTGAGCCCTGCCACATGCACAATGGAGGACCTTCTTGCAGCAACACTAGAAGCACTCCAAGTGGCCAGATACTGGTCAAAGGACATTTAATCAACCACCAAACTCACAAATTTTGTATTTTGTCTGTTTGTTTGCTTTGTTCTGTTAGAAATGTAATATAATTGACTGGTTGCCCTGACACGACAAATAAATGCGGTAGCGTAGCGTTTTAAACCACTAAGCCCCAGACTTTTTGACCAGAAGGTCAGCAGTTTGAATCCATGGAACAGGGTGGGCTCCCATTCCTAGCCCGAGCTTCTGCCGACCTAGCAGTTCAAAAACATGCAAACGTGAGTATATCAATAGGGATCGCTTCGGCAGGAAGGTAATGCTGGCCACATGACCTTGGAGGCATCTATGGACAATGGTGGCTCTTCTGCTTAGAAATTGAGATGATAATCATCCCCCGGAGTTGGACTCAATGAGATTTAATGTCAAGGGGAAACCTTTACCTTTTTAGTAGCCAACCAGGTCATTACAAGTATTTTTAATGTTATTCATAATTTTTATTTTAATATTATCCTTCCTTATCCTAATTTGTGTAATGCAAATATTACTGTGGTTGATTTTAATAAATAATTTTATAATTTCAAGGTGTTTTGTTTACAACATATTTTTTACTATGTATAGGAGATAGGTAGAAATATAAATACATAAAGGAACACAAATTTGTTACTGCATCTTTCTGTTTGTTCATTTAAAGAAGGTAGATTTCCAGGAAGGCGTTGAGGTTCTTTTTTCTGAAAAGGGGACAGTAGGTCAAATGAGTTTGGGCACATCTGTGCTATAGCTTGCGAATGTAATACAAACACTAAAATTCATTGTGTCTAGAATCCGAGAAATGTTTTGTCTGAATGAAAAGAAATCCCCCATATCCATAGATTATCCACTGATTCAACAAACTATGGCTTGAAAATATTTGTGGAAAGGGAAATTCCAAAATGCAAATATTGATTCTACCCTAGGCCACTAGATATATAACAGGACTTGTGCATTCATGGATTTTGGTATCCATAGTGGATGCTGGAACCAAACCTCAGCAGATACCGAGGGCGGATTCATATGAATTCAGTGGGACTGGCTGTTAATGAACTGTTCAGCTGGTCATCCAACTAAGGTAGAAAATATATCTTCTGGCGACACCAGACAATCCAACATGGTAACATTGGTTCCAGGTACACTCTCAGGCTTCAACACTCCTCCTTTAGATAAGCTCTACCCTATCTAAGATATCCCTAACACTTCATGTCCATCTGAACAACTGATTATCAACAACATAATATATGATTTAAGTATCAAGTTCCTCGTAATTTCATGTAGATGGTCCAGAGCATGGAGATAAGAGACAACTTTTGAATTCACTATAATAAAACTCCCATGGAATGGAGCAGCAATTCCTCAACACCACCTTCTGAACCATACTAGGTTATAACACAAATCAGTTACACTATTTTATAAACTTGTCAGCCAGTGCAGTTTGCTATATTGGTTGAATGCATGAAAGTATAATTGAGGGGAGAACTAGATAAACTCTGGGCTGAAGCTGGGCCATTATCAGATATGACTGCAAAAAGACACTACATGTAACCCAAAAGGAAGAAATCTCAGGGGATGTCAATTGAAAATCTTCAAGTTGTTAGATAAGAAGCAAAAGGAAAAGCTATCAAAACTACAGCAAGGACTCTGAATGCAACTGTTCAAGGACTTCAATGCACAAACAAGAACTACTGTAACAATACATGGAGATAAACAGAATATGACAACAAAAGGGGAAGAATAAAAGATCTTCCCACAAGGTCAGAGAAGTCAAAGGGAAATTTAAACCAAGAATGGGGATACTTTACAACCAGCAGGGTGACACATTACATGACCTACTCGAAATAAAAAAGAGGATGGAAATAAGTCATGAAACAATTATATAAAAGAGATGCAAGGATTTCGGGTTCATTCAAAAAAGAAACATATGAAGTCAAGCCTCCAAAATGAAAACAACAACAACAATGAAAGTGGCACGTGGAATAAACAAATCACCAACAACAATTGTATGCCAATAGAACTGTTTTAATATACCGAGACAGAATATACTTTAGTTTTAACTAAGATATGTCAACAAATATGGAAAACTAGACAATGATCAAACATATATGCATACAATATACATTTCATTTCCAAAAAAGACACCCCAAGAATTGCAGTAACTACAGAACCATTGCATTAATTCACATGCAGGCAAAATGATGCTTAAAATTCTACAACAAATACTTTTACTGTGTGTGGAGCAAGAAATACCATCTGATCAAGCTGTGTTCAGTAGAGGAAGAGGCACTAAAGATCATATTGAAAACATATATTGAATAATGAAGTGTGCCAAACAATTTAAAGAGAAAATGTGAGTTATAAATTATAGCAAAACCTTTGACTTTATAGGCAAAAAAAAAAAAACCTACCCCAACAACTACGGGTTACTCTAAAATAACTGCATGTGCCATAACATTTGATTGTCCACATACGTAGCCTGTAGTCAGGCCAAGAAACTACCATTAGGCCATAATACAGAAAAATGAAAGGTTTCAAGTTGCCTGGAGGCTAGGCAAGACTTAATCTCATCTCTCTTTTGATGTCATTTGTATGTTGAAAATATAATATCTCAAGCTGAATTAGTCTTGGAGGAATGAGGTGTGAAAAATGGAGGCAGGAAAACCAACAATTTAAAATATGACAACATACTGTAATACTATTAGAAGATAGTAAATACTGAAAAAAGTAAAGAAAGAAAACGCAAAGGCAGGTTTACAGTTGAATATCAAGAAAGTAAAAACTTTAAAGTTGATGAAGAAGACATTGAAATAATTCAAGATTTGCCATATCTTGGTTCAATCATTGTTCAGAATGGTGACTGCAATTTAGAAATGACAAGGTCTAGGACTTGAAAGGGTAGTGATAAAGGAACTAGACAAAATCTGAAGTGTAAAGACATATCATTGAACAGTAAAGTTAGGATTGTTCATACCATCATATTTTCCATTTCAATGTATAATTGTAAAAGGTGGACTCTGGAGAAAATGCATGAGGGAAAAATGAACTCAATTGAGATATGGTGCTGGAGAAGAGCTCTGTGGATATCAGACTGAATCCTAGAACAATTCAAGTCTGAACTATCTCTAGAAGTCTTGATGCCTAAATTGATATTGTTGTACTTTGCCATATCATGAGTACACAAGATTCATTAGAAAAGACAACACTGCTTAGTACTGTAGAAGGAAAAGAGGAATACCACAGATTTAATAGACTCAGTCAAGGAAGGCATGATCCTGAATCTGCAAGCCCAGAGCAGGTGACAGTTTGATTTGGT